TATTACTAGTACTATATACTATCTAATTTAACACTACTGACTTTATCTGGTTATCCTTATGGCACCTAAGTGCATGTCTGCCACATGTTTGCACACAGTTATCTTAACAATCACTTGTGGTTATGGCACATATTAAACTGCTACATAGACAAGGATATCTACGGAACTTAATGCGGCATCCCAAATGCCAGGGGTACTGTCTTCTATAAATCGTATCTATATGTTCTACTCATATGTTTTACCTGGTTTTGTTTCTTCTGCCTTCTAATCTAACTATATCTAGTATTATCTTGTTCCCTATATTTTCCACCTTTTTGTCACTATATCACTCCCAAATTGGTCTTACTTGGTTATGTTAGATCCTTATGATCTTTCTATCTTTGGTTTGCTTGTTATTGATTCCGCTAAGATGTTTTGATAATGGTCCAGAATCTACAATGAACCCGTATCTCAAGCCAGATTTGCTGCCACCATTGGTCTTTTGACCAATCCGTATCTCAAGCCAAACCTGCTGCCACTGTTCCTGCAGATGCCTCAGGTCTTAACATTATATAGTAACTCGATGCTGCATTTAATCTCCAACATGGTGCTTCCTTTTATAGTAGAGATTGGAACTTGTTGCACTTACAAACAGGACAATTCTGGTTATACCTAGAGAGTTTCTTCGACCCTAGTGATACTATATTACCATGTATTGCAAGCTCCCAGCTTATTCGACAATATCTGCAGGACAATTCTGGTTATACCTAGGAAGTTACACTGACCCCAGTGATCCCATACTACCTTGCAGATCTTATCTTATATTGGTTAGTTGATCACTAGTCTTGTTCGTCATAGACTTTCATATAGGTATGACCAGAACCCAATTTGGTACTTTTATATTGCATAAGGAGGTTATACACCTACCTCCAAGATTTTCCTTTCTATAATTAGATTATTTGACTATGTCAGAGGTACTTCCAATTTTAGTTAGATCAATTCTTTATCACAGTCTGTCTTTGTGTTCATCACTTCTCTCACCATTTCAGTCTTGGTTACTTGTTAGACTATTCTTCCAATCAAATCCTCTCCTTAGATCCCAATTAAGACTTATTTGCATAATCTGTTGATTATCCTTTCAAGCAAGTACCCTACAAGTTGGGTGCAAGGATGTTGGTACTGTCTATATTAGAAGGTATAAGGATGTTGATGTTGTCCTAGCCTAAAGGACTTATATGTGCAATCTTTCCATAACCATAACCTTCTATAACAACCGCTTGTTATGCATAGTGTCTGCATTCCACAATTGGGTCTTCTTCTGAAAATTCCTATTTCCATCATTGTATTGTACTTGGACTTAATCACAGAGCTTCGCATTCAATTACAGGCTCCTTATTAGATTACAGAAACTAAAATCTTTCAATTTTGCCTCCAGCTGGACTTGAACCGTTGACCTTGACTGTGGAGGATATGGGAGCTTAACCGCTAAGCTATAGAACTCACACCCCTTAATAAATTATTTTATATATATTAAGTTAGTTTTTTTATAATATTAAACTTATCTTTTAGATAAAATTTAAACTTAATATTATAGATTAAACAAATAAATAAAGAATAAATAATAAGTAAATAATAAAAAAAAATCTAACATTATTTTATCCTATATTTGTTAAGTAATAACAACATAACAGTAATATAATAACAGAATAACAGTAAAATAACAGAAAATTTGTTAATATAAGTAACATAATAATAATATATTAGCAAAATAATAGAACAGTTTAATTATTTTACTTTTAGTTACAAAGACTAAAAATAAAATAATAGAACTGTTTCATTATTTTGCTAATATGTTACTATTATATTACTTATATCAACAAATTTCCTGTTATTTTACTGTTATTCTGTCATTATTTGGTGAAGGTAAAATAATGACAGATTTTTTTTTATTATTTACTTATTATTCACCTTTTATTCATTTGTTTGACCTATGTATTTCTACAATCTTTAAATTTTTTTCTTTAATTTAAGATTTAAATTGGTAAATTTTAGAATAATTTGTTATTCTTTATGTTAAGTATTGTATAATAAGCTAGATTGTTTTTTAAAACCTGTTATATATTTTGGATGAATTTGTATATCTTTATTTTTTGACTTCTTTGAACTGATCTGTATAACCAAAATTTTGCAATTTTAATTAGTTGATTTACACAAAAATATCATGTAGATATATAGCTTTAAATGACCCTTTAATTCGGTATATTCTTTAACTGCACTGAGTTAACTCTTCTTCAACCTACTCTAAATATCCAAATATAATAACATTCAATAAAATTAGGTTAGATCATACAAATTTAATATCTTGGTTTTAATAACATGAAATTTTTAAATAAACTTGGCTGGCCATCTAGGATTTTTTTTAAATTTCAAACATACAAATTTTATAAAATATATGTAGTATTTATAAAAGATCCACCCGGATATTAAAACATATAAAATATTTTTTTGACCCGACCGAGTTATGAAAACCAATTAATTAATATTGCATGACCTTAAATCGCGGTTTAAGGGTATAAAATAGCAAATTTAATAGTAAAAGTTGGCGGAAGTTAATATGGTTTTTCTATAGGGTTGGAATACAGCTAGCTTACAATGAAAAGTTTTTTTTTGTGCCAAGTAAGCCTTCCTTGAGCTTCTAACAAAGATTATAGAACAAGTTATTCCGGTTTTAATAGTGATAGAATTATTCAAATTGGTTTTGTAGATCACGATCTATTGACATTTTCTCGTTTATAACTATATTCCAACATTATATGAAAGTAATAGTAATTCTCCACCGATTTTTACTATTAAATATTATTTTATTATATAAAAAACAATGTTTGATTAGATGTATTAATAGTTTTAATACTATTTTTAAAATAAAATATTTGGATTATTTTTGTTATAAATAAATAAATCATACTAAAATATACAATATGAAATATTAAAATTTTTTATAATAAATCAAAAAAAAATCGAATATCGATATATCGAAGTAAAAGTTGCTTTTTTTTATAAACATCAATTGCCATACTATTACGTCACAACTTGCATATTTTTTAATTGAACGTTTTTTTTGAAATTCGAACCTTTAAAAATAACTGTACGGATTTTAAAGAATACTATCATCATAGACATTTTAAAATTTAAAAGTCATACAGGTTTATAAATTAAAACAGCATCGACGCAAGTCTAATATATTGCATATGCGAAGCAAACTAAATCTGGCAAAAGTGCTAAGTGATCATATTGATAAAGAATCTTTGAGGAGTAGTGTCATATGAATATTTCAGACTTCAGCAAGAACTTAAATTGTCGCATAAATAGAGAAATTAGATACATTCTACACAACACGTGACATGGGTTAACATACTATGGTATATGCTTTAAAATTCAAAAATTCAACGCAATGGGGAAAGAGACATACTTGCATATGAGCAGAGATGAAGGTCGAAACACGAAAATAAGGTTTATCCTCAAAGTAAACAAAGAGATACATGATAAGTCCGTGAAACCTCGCGTCGAGCGAAGAGATTTCCAAGGCAATCAAATGCAAGGCAAAACTGTCATCATTGATAATTATATCCTTGACATCAAACACCTCCTATAATTAATCGCCAATACAATGTGCTGACCTCTGTCAATTAAATGGAAGATATATATATAATATATCCTTTTTCGAGCAGACAACCATTATTATGCAGGTACAGCCGTTAATTTCCTTTATGAAGGGCCGAGGAGACAACGCGTCACAGGAGAATGAGAGTTAGTAAAAGTTCATTCTTGTGAATTGGAATTAAGTAATACTTTTCGCCTTATCTGTAAGTAAATTATCCAAGTGGAAGTTTAGATCATTCTTCGAATATCATATATGGCCATATTTGATGTTCTTATATGCTTTATAGGTTGTATAAGGTGAGGACGATGAATTGGTTGGTGCATCGGGGGCGGAAAACCAAATTGAATTGGTCAATTGATCGCCGAAAACAATGGACTATCAAAATTTAGACTCCGCTCTTGGTAGCAAGGATTTATTTATTGCCTGATTTGTCCTGACACTTGCACAAACACATGCGGACTTTCTGCTGCTTTCCACTGATCGAGTTGAATCTTCGGATCTGGTCCCTATTATATTATGTGTAGCAAATCATCATTTTATTAATGTGATTTGTTTTTTTTCATCAATTGAAACATTGATGTCTGTGGGTTGTCATGTAATTTTTGCATTTACCTCCTAGAATACTTTATAAAACTCCTTTGCCGCCTCTTCTGATCCTCAGCTTCTCTTTCCCCTTTTCCGTTTTTTTCCTCTTTTCCTTCTTTTCTCGTGCCCTCCTTGATATATTAATATTTAATCTTTTCTTTCAACTTAGCAAGTGTTCGTATTAACGTATTAATTGACTTAACCTTGTATATCATATACCATATATACTACATCTATCATATATATACTATATATCCTTATTTGTATTCGTCGCAAAGTCGAAGGCGCGAAAAACGAATATCTAGATTTTTTATTCATAATTTTTAGATAAACTCATGATTTCGTTCTTTTAATTATGCAAATTTTACATAAAATCACGCTAAAGTTACATATTTTTTTGTTCATTCCATCCACCATTCTTTTTCATCCATCATACGTACCATCACTCTCTTTATCTCTTCCTTTATACATATATTAGTTACTGCACTCCCATTAATTCTACATATATATAATATATATATTCATTTATTTATATTTTATATATATTTATCGTTATTTTTGACAAAAAAAAGAAGAAACAATTCGAAACAAAAAAGTGCATTTCATCTATTTTAATATATCGTAAAATTGCCACGTTTTTTCATTAAACATTTTCTGCGGCACGGCAGAATTACATATAATCTTCCCAAATTTACTTATTGTAAAACTTTTTGAGAATCTTAATTTCTTTAAAGTATTTTTTTCTCCATAAAGAATTTATTATTATTTATTAATTATGGCTTGGAGAAACGTTAAAAAATTGGGCAATATCATTAATGATGTTCGGTCTTCCTCAAAGATCGTTAAATCTCAAAATACTGCCATATCTTCCCGTGACTCTTTACCTAATGATGACAATCTGGTTTCTTCCTCAACTGTTCAAGATTCTAATTATGCTGCTTATAGTTGCGGTACGCGTTCGAGTTTAAGTGATATTCATAGCGAATTACATGATGCGAGTGAGTTACTTTATCTTCAGCTGCCAGAAGATGTTAAATTGGTTTTGGATAGACTTCGGAATTTACAGCGTGCTGAAAATTCTGTCTTATTTTATGATAAAAAATTGCCGAATGGTGAACGTCAGGTATGCTTATTTCATTTCCTAATTCTTTGCCTCTCACGTGATCTCATGATCTCGCTTGTTAATTACAGTGTCCGTTCATGACGTTAGAGTCTGCCTTGATGTCTATATTAATATTGGCTCCTACTTTATTGCTGGTTAATGCTCCTGGCTCTTCTCAATCAAATGATGATGACGATGATCATGCTGGCTATTATGATGCTGAGGATTATTTATCGTCACGGTCACGTCCTTCCTCTTCAATAATCCAAGAAGAGGCTCTTTCAGTAATACACGAAAATATGGAATGTCATTATGCTGGTCGTTCCGATCAACTTCCACATTCCCGTTATTATGCCCGTCTTTCGCATTCCTCTGCTTCAACCTTTCATTCTGAGTCATCTGAATCATCCTCAAAGCATTCCTCATTAGTAAAAGTTTTGGGCGCCTCTAGTCTCTTGACTAAAATAATCGGTTCTATATTATCTCATCATCATGATGTTCTAATGAATTCACTTACTGATTCTACAACCTTGGAGAATTTTCATCTGCTATGTGCACAAGTGTCTAAGGAGGCAAAGGAACTAGCCAAACAGATAAGGAGAATTACTACCCAAGGAAAAACAGATGAGTTGGTAGAATATGGTCAGGTGATACCTTCTTTTTGATGCCATTTTTTTTTGATACTTTCTTTTAATATTATTTAATAACTCTTTTAATATTCTTATTTTAATAACTCTTAATATTCCCATTTTAAATATCTTATTTTAATACACTTTAATACACTCATTTTAATGCTTATTTAATACTCTCTCATTTGGTTTGATACATTCTTATTTGATACACTCACTTAATACACTCTCATTTAATACACCATCTAATACACTTATCTAATACACTCATCTTAATATACACTCATCTTAATACACACTCATTTTAATACCTACACATTTTAATGCACACTCTTTTAATACATCTTTTTTAATATACTCTTTAATATTCTTTTTTTAATACACTCTTTTAATACTTTCTTTTTGATATTGCAATTTTGTATCTTGAACACAATAATTATTGATGACTTCTTGGTAGATCGTTTACAATGAGTTAGTGTCTCATGCAAATAATTTGGTGGAAGCATTAGACCTGTTTGTAAATTTTGTTCATCTTCATCTCCCACAAAATTATGAAGGGCGTAAGTTTCGTTTAATGTTTCCAATTTCTAAAAAAAATTCATGATATTTATATTTATAAAAATAGCATCGAAGTTGATTTTAACGTATTCGGTAAATGCACAACCAAACGAGCCCTTGACAACTGAAGAACAAAAACATAAAAAGTACAATATTCATTTTTTTTATTACATGTAATATATGTATTTTGGGGTTATTAATATTCTATTTGAACTTATGCTTATTAGGAAAAAGAATACTTGTAAGTTCTTTATAATTGTTTTTTATAATTGTTTTTTAATTACTGCCATATAACTAAATATAATTATGTTACAGTTAAGAAAAAGATAATGCGGAGCCTCGGGACATTTAGGCGACGTTCAGATGCGAAGCAATCAATAAATGACCTAAATGTGACGTCTGATAATTCGGATCGTTTAAGTGGACACAGTACTGTGTCATTTGAAAGGGGACAATCTCCTTTATCACATAAATTTAATGTCGGCTTGTCTTCTTCTTGGCGATCGGTAAAAACAATGTTTATTTCTGATATGTGCGATTATGTCTGTTTACTTACGAACATGAAATTTTATCTTATTTTTATTAGCGAAATGAAAGTACTGATTCCGAATTATCTATTGCATCCGTGGCTACTATGCCGATAATTTATTCTAAAGAAAGAAAAATCACCTTCTCGGAAAGTTCTTCTTTGCACAAACCTCGTTTTCACAACCACATATCTCCACTGTCAAATAACCGTCTTTACCGCAAGAATATGGATCTTTCTATTGATACTTCATCTAAAAATGATCCATCTCCTTTTTATTCTTCTCCAAATACTCCAAATACTCTTAATAGTAATTGTAGCATTTCATTTAACCATCGAAATCGCGACAGCTATTTACGTTTTAATAACGAGCCTGTATCACCTGCATTGTCTAATTCGAGTAAAGGCTCTAAATTTAAAGAAATGTTAGACGAATCATCTTTTAAACCGTCTTTAGGATGTAACATCGATCAAGATACCAAAAAAAATCGTACTAGAACCCAATCATTTATCTCTAGATTTATGTCTAATAGTCGTCTATCAAGTTCCCCTCCATTATCACCTATATCAACACATTCTCTCTACATCCCTTCAAATAAGACCTCAAAATCTTCTTTATCTATAGGAAATAGACGAAAAAGTAAAGAAAACTTGACTGATTCTGAAAGAGAAAATGAACCAAGACCCCGTCGTGTTTCAAATCCAAGCACAAAACCTCATTTCTTCAAACATCTTCATCTGCCTTCTCGTAAAGGTAAAGTTTCCGAAAATACCGCCCGAACTACGAATTATTGGCCGGTAACTGAGGATCCTTTAGTCTCTGAATCTCCTACGAACAAAAATCCAAATCGTTTTTTCAGAACTCCTTCATTATCCGGTAAACGTCCTAAACTACATAAAATTAACAGTGACACTGATTTAAGAAGCTTACGAAAAATGTGGGCAGAACGTGAACAAACATCTCCTTTATCTGCTCATGTGGAGGAAGTTCGGGAAGATCCTAATAGAATTGATAATTGTCCTTCAGTCGAAGTTTGTGATGAAAATCTAAGAGAAAGTTTACTTCGTAAAATCGTAACAAAGAAAAGGTATTTATTAAAATTGATATACATATATATGTATATATGCTGGCAAAACTAAAAATCTCAAAATCCCACTCAAATCCCAAATATAATAAAATTGTCCCAAATCCCACCCCAAATATAATAAAATTTCATCCCAAATCCCAATAGTTTTGCCAGCAAGTATATATATATGTTGTATCTAAACTAGCAATTTATCTAAAGTAGCGCCTGGCTAAAATTAAGCCCCTGAAATTATATAATTTTAGCCAGGGCGCTACTTTAGACATAAAGTGGCTATTTCAGATAATCGCTACTTTTGATGCGACATATACATATCGATATTTTTGCTAACATTTGATATTAAAAAAGTTCAACTAGTTTAAGTATTAAAAAAAAGTCCAGTCTGAGTAGTATGTTAAAGTTGTCCAATATTATATCACGCCTTCATGTAAGCACGTATCAATTACGATAAGTTATTATCGAATAAAAAACAATCATATCGAAATTAACATGCAACTTACCAAAAATTCATTAAATAGCATGGTGATATGGAATCAGACCAAACAAATGATGACAAAACCTTAAATAAATTATCAGATATTAATGATTCACGTGATGGTGCTTTGCTTACAAAAGTAGATGGAAGGTTAGTGCCAGTAAAGCGATGCCTTATTTAATACCAATGTACTAATATATTCCGATTTTAGTACACATATCGTAGAAACACTTGAAAACTTACTATCCAAGCTGGTTGATGAAAATGAACAAGGTAATCTTTTGAAACTTTTAATTGCTGAATATGTGATTACATAGTATATATTTATTAATTTATTTATATTTTAGAAAGCGAATTTATTGATTGTTTTATTCTAAGTCACGTGTTCTTTATCAGCTCAAGAGATTTCTTGGAAGATATGATTACCAAGTTCAAATCAAAATTCGCTCAACAAAAGTAGGCACATCATAATAAATAGTTGATGCATCATGTAAATTTATTCAACATATATAATTATCATCATTATTTGTTATTATAAGGGTATTGAATATTCTTTATCGATGGGTAATACTCCAACCAGAGAATTTTCAAATTGATCTCCAATTACGCTACCAATTGCAAAGTTTCTTGACAGAGGAAGTTAGTGACGCAGAATTTCAGGAGGATGTCGATCGGATACTTTCGAGTTTCGATGTTAGTATAACAATTAATTATTTATTTTATATAAAAATTGAATTTTTTTTTTTTTTATTACACAATACAAATAGTTAAATCTTCAAAGGAAGGTTGCGCCGCCACGTGATTTTATTCACTCAATATCAAGCGGCAATTCTGAGAAAGCATTTCAAAAATCTCCAAAATCATCACCAGTTATGCAAGACTCTTCACCACTTTTGGAATTTGAGGCAGAGAATATAGCAAAATACCTTACGTTAATGGATTTTAATGCATTAAAATCTATAACGTTCTTTGACTTTATTACAGTCTGGTGGAGAAAGCGACAAGCATTTGAGTCTCAGGGAAGTCCAAATGCGGCTCTCAAAGATCAACAATTTGGCCTTATGGAGAGTCAACTGGATGCCTTTACTAGGAGATCTAATATGGTAATATATACATATAATTCCTTTATTTATTTAAAGTGTTACATAAACATATATGTATGTATGTAAATTTTTTAATATTTATTAGTTAAGTCATTGGATAGCTCATGAAATATGTAGTTTGAAAACAGTAGAAGCGAGACAAGCAATACTTCGCAAATTCATTGATACTGCCAAGGTTTGTTTATGATAAAATTCCAGTTAATTTTTAACTTTTATATCATTAACATCTTTTAAAAATAGTATTGTCGAGAATTTAATAATTTTCACACATCAATGTTCATCGCGTTAACTTTGAATTCGAAGCCGGTACAACGGCTCAGAATGACCTGGGAATCATTGTCAAATCAAGATTTTATGAATCTGGATAGTATTGAAGAACTAATTGATCCATCAGGGAATATGCGAAATTATAGAACATCATTAGAACGTGCTAAATGTCCTATAGTACCATTTTTTGGTATGGAATTTTAAAATTTCCTTTTAGATACATTTAATTTTATGATGAGTATATTGATACACATTTTATTTTACTTAGCTTCTTTTCTCAAGGACATAACTATTATAATGGAAGGTGTACCAACCTTTTTACCAGACAATAGTTTTCGAGATAAACAATTTCAAAATCCTTCAGCAACCACAACACCAACCACTGAATATAGTCAAGAATCTCATGGGTTACGAGTGGCACCAAATTCCCCAATACCATCGCCAACTTTTTTGGATGAACAATATACAAGACCTGAATTAATAAACTTTGAAAAATTTAGATCACTTAAAAAGAGTGTTTATAATATTAAAAGATACACATCAAAAAGTTATCCTTTTGAAAATCAATTATCGCGACCGACTACTATTACTGTTACACTTTCATCTGATAATAATACAACAGTACCTTCGGTGAATACTCCTTCGTTATCAACAACGAGTATAATTAATACCACATCAACGTCATCGAACATTCTTAATAATAATAAAACATATTCAAGCTCATCATTGGATTATATAGGTGAAATAATAGAAAGGCGTTTATATGAAGCAGCAGGATTGATATTTGGTGGTAATGTAGCTCAAATAGCGACGTCTGATGGTGGTGAACTAGAAGCTGATTTAATGGCGTTATCACTAGAAGCCGAACCTGGTGTTACGTCAGCGCAGTAACAAGAATGGGTAAAGTTCATAATATACTAAAAAAGACTTTCAAAAAAATTTTTTATGCACATAAGATTAAAAACCCCCTAATTCTAAGGATATTTTATCAAATAACACAGTAATGACTCGAATGACAACTTTTTAGAATTTTTATAGACATTATATATTAAAAAAGGTATTCTTTTGTCTAGATTCTTTTATTGATATTTCTATGTATATGTGTTGTAGACATTTTTATATATACGTATGTGTTGAGACATTTTAGTTTAGTCGTCTATTTAGACGTATTTGAATCTTTTTTTTTCTTCTTGCATGTAAAAGTGTAATATAACATTAGGATTATATAATTATCTTATAAATCGTTTCAATAATAGCTTTAGAGATCGATTTTTCAAAACATAACGATAAAATTTAAGTTTGAAATGACCGGCACGTTTAAACAGTGCCAGGGCACAGGATCGATTTTTCGTTCAGGTCAGTATTGTCACTAGAAGACCACTAGAAGGTCAAATCAATAGTGTCACGGGAACTTTAAGTTTCATTGACACTATTGATTTTACTTCCAGTGACAACACTGGTTTAGGTGATTTTCCGAGATCAATTAGCTAATTAAAAATCAGGATATGGTGTAACGTAAAAAAAGTTCGCTTATCTTAAAACCTTTCTTTGTATTAAACTGTCTTTGTGGTTTAATAAAAAATTCCTCGAGCAATTTTACTATCGAGAAGTTCTTTCTAACCTAAAATACACACATAAATGTACCTTTTTGTTCGAAGACTATGGAACTCTAAAAGTCACGTGAACGGAAAATCGATAAATCGATCCTATGCCCTGTCAATTTTGAAACATTTACTCAAATTCAATATTTCTTTTTTAATTTTTGATTTTTTTTTAAAAAAAAAAAACTTTTTATTGGTTATTCATTTGCTCGTACCTTTAATAGGTAGCATTTTGCATAAACTTATCACTGACTTTAAAATATTAAAAATAATCGTTAATGTACACAAAAAAAAAATTCTACATTTTTATATAGTGTTAAATAAGACAATCTACAATGAACCCGCAGATATTTGAGTGCTGCAAAGCTAAAGCGTGCAAATCTTATAAAATTTGCATGTTTTAGCTTTGCGGCACTTATTTGAGATATTTAAAATATTTATTCCAACCACTAATCTATAAACAGTTCAAACGTTAAAATAAAATCTATTAGATTTAAGTGTATGAGTGAAAACCTGGAAACCAATTTAATGATTGACTATGATTGGTTTGCAGGTTTTCACTCACGCACTTATTTAATAAACTTTTTGATATGGAACTCGATAAAAAAGTTTAAATGAAAAAAAAACAATAATCATTTAAGATATTTTTAGTTTCAGAGAATATATCTCCTACTTGTTCCAACCACCACGTAGAGAGGTGTATCTTAATCTTACTGATTGGGAAGGCGGACCCATTTCTCATTTTACCAGCTCGGTTTCCGGTTTCAAGTAGTTTGTTTTCTTGACTTTTACATTCGTATTTAATCAAGGTAGCTTTAACTCAAGTTATTATATTATCTGAGTTTTGAGAAAATAAAATCATCTTGAACCTAACAACGAAAAACATCACGTTCAGACTACATTCAGACGCGAAAAAAAATAAGGCAAAGGGGTAAATAATAATATATAATAAGAAAAAGGAAAGTATTTATATAAACAATAACTACAAACTTTATACATAGAATAATTACATATCAATGAGCAATTATTATAAGTAAAAACGGGTTTCAATCTGTTTCATATTTCTGTATTGTTAACTGTTATCGTTAAATTATCTAACTTTAATTAGAAATTAAGCACGCATTTTTTTTACAAATCAGATTCTAAAACCGAAACCACATTAACAAATAAAATTTTACAGGTTGCATCACTCATAAACGATATGCCAGTCTTAACGACTTGGGACTGGGACGTGACCTATCATAGAATATAACAAATAATACTGTTATTGAATGCTACGCATCAATAACTTACTTATCTGGCTTTAAATTTAACGTACCATTTCTGGGCCCCGTAGGGGCCCAGAAGCTGGCACATTAAATTTAAACCAGATAATGGACTATAAAGATTATATATAAAAAACAGACCTAAAGCTTGTAAAACTAAGTAATATATTAATTTTTTAAAAAAACCATTGTAATCAGTCAGACTACTGAAACTTTTTAAAGAAAAAAATTATATATTAGAAACTATGTAAACTAGAGGTATAGTTGTATTTACCTTTTTAGATTATCTGAACTAGAAGTTTAATAGAACTTAATTAAATATCAAAGTAATAGTAATATGTTGTGAAATAAGTACGTATTAAAGCTAAAATAAACTTTACAAGAGTATAACAATTTAATGATAAGCTTTGACTGCAAATATTGGTTTTAATCATAATATAATTAAGTTAGCTATAAAAATAAGATATAAAAGATTCTAAAAGGTTTAGTACAAGATTAAAGGTTTTTATATAAGTAAACTACTTTAAAGGCTTAGTAATTATAGCATATTTTTATTAGTATTAACTAAGATTGTTAATAGATGTAGATAAATAAGTAAATATAAGAACTAAAACAAAATTTATAAACAAATTCTAAATCTAATAACTAGTATAAAACTTTTAAACAAACTATTTAAATTAAAGTTATATAAATGACTAGTTGTATACTCTTTTTATAATTGTCTTCTGTGATTGTAATACAACTATTAGCTAAATGTATTATTAATAAAATCTTAGATCAAACTACTTATCTAAATATTTAAAAAATAAAAATAAATAAAAATGTTCTTCTAAATAAATACTTTTGGTTTTATAGAATGAAAATATCAATTGTTTTAATAAAATTTAAGTAATTAACTTATAATTTTGAATATTTAATTATAAATTTTTTTTTTTTTTTTTTTAAACCTTAAGCAGTTATGCTAGTACTTTATTAAGATTCTTGAAACTATATACATATAC